TCCATTGACTCTGTGCTTCCATGTCCTCTGCAGCCCAGAACCCTTCGGTAGCAGAGACCCTGCACCCGGCCTTCACAGGAGTCCAGCAGTACGCAGGTACCAGCCTCCCTTGCCCCCCTCAGGCCCCTGCCTGGTGGAGCAGGTCCTCAGGTGAAGGGTTTGTTGTGTCTCCAGCCGTGTACCCGACCACCACCGTCACCCCCATTGCCCAGAGCATCCCTCAGCCACCTCCTGTCCTGCAGCAGCAGCAGCGAGAGGGTGAGTGAGGCTCAGGGTGGGAACATGTGTCCATGATGGGGGGGTTGTGTAGCACAAACCATCAGAGCACCCAACTTTGACTGCGTCGCTGTGGGCAGGGGGGTGAGAGCAGCAGCTTCCACACAGCAGCATCTGTGTGGAGACGTGATGAACAAGGAGCTGCCACCTCCGTGCACTCACAGGGCTGGTTGTGTCCAGCACCAGTGGCACTGGGCAAGCTGCGGAGGTGAATCTGGGCTCCAAAGCTCCAGCCCTGCCTCCCCGTGAGCCCCCAGAGCCCTTTGTGCACTGAGAGACAGGGAAGGGGGGTGAGGGCAGGAGGAGGTGGTGCTGGGGTTCTCCTCCAGTGCTGTGCCCTGAGTTGAGCCCTTCCCCATGGGGGGGTCTCTGTTTTGTCCCTCCCTGTTGTGTGTCTGTTTCCCCCCCCCCGCCTGCAGGTCCTGCAGGCGGCAAGGGGGGGTCTCTGTTTTGTCCCTCCCTGTTGTGTGTCTGTTTCCCCCCCCCGCCTGCAGGTCCTGAAGGCTGCAACCTCTTCATCTACCATCTCCCTCAGGAGTTTGGAGACAATGAGTTGATGCAGATGTTCCTGCCCTTTGGCAACATCATCTCCTCCAAGGTGTTCATGGATCGTGCCACCAACCAGAGCAAGTGTTTTGGTGAGTGCTGGCGCCACCGAGGATGAGGAGGACCCTCATGGCACCAGCAGAGCTGTCACTGTCCACACTTCTGTCGTGTCCTGCAGGCTTTGTCAGCTTTGACAACCCATCCAGTGCTCAGACTGCGATCCAGGCCATGAATGGCTTCCAGATTGGCATGAAACGCTTGAAGGTGCAGTTGAAACGACCCAAGGATGCCACCCATCCCTACTGACAGCAGCGAGCACGAGGAGGCACTTCTGCAGCACAGGTAACCTGTGGCAAGCACCATCGTGGCTGGTCGAAGCCATCAAGGCTTGGTGGGAGCAGGATGGGTCCAGAGGAGGTGTCTGTGGTCCAGGCGATGCTTTGGTCTCCTTTCTGACCCAAAGCTCCCCAAAGCACTGATCTTCCCCAAAAGGTTTTAAACCCCAGTGGTTTTGTTTCGTTGTACACCTGCCCTGAGGCTGCAGAAGATGCTTTCCAGGGTAAGAAGGGAGGATCCTGTGGTTCAGAAGGATCCCAGGAAAGCGAAGGGAAAGCAAGACCCTGCGGGGCCACCAAAGGCTGCTCCAGAGCAGAGCTGCTGGACACGAGCTGCTCCCTCTGGTCGGGGTCCTCTCACTCCATGTTTAAGCCTGAGCTTTGCCTCGATGTCCTCCTAATGTCCCAATTCCCTCCTTCCCTTTCTCTTCAGGTGAAGGGAAAAGTCCAGAGGAAGAATTTCTGCTTCAGGTTGCTTTACAGAGAGGCCAGTAACTTTCTCAACTCTTTTGCCACCAGCCCCTTTCCCTCCTCTGCTCCCACCTCCCCGTCCTCCTCCCCAAACCTTTGCCATTAAAGAGAAGGCTCAATGTCTGCCCAGCAGGAAGATTCTTGCCACGACGGACTCGCACATTTGCTGCTCCCGTGGTGCAGAGCAAAGGGACCAGAAACCCGGCAGCCCCGGGGGGACACGAAGCTTTTCCTCTCGGGGTGGGCCTGGAGAACATGGACCAAGCGTCCCTCATCCCTCCTGCCCCGTCTCCCGGCCCCTTTCCCAGAGAAATAGAAATATATATATATACAGCCTCTATTTTTGATGAAAGTGGCTCACAGGACCAAACTTTTCCATTCAGAGACTGACTCCTTGCACAAGGGATTGGAAGTTCAGGGCTTGCCTTTGCGGGTGTCCCCTCCGCCAGCGCTGCGGATGGGCCCGAGCGGTTTTGGGAGGCTGTTTTGGAAGGACATGGAGCGGGAATGTCTCTGCTCAGCTGTAGCAAGAAGCAAGGAGGAAGAGAACTACATACCTCGGGGATTAGGGCACCGCTGCTCGGCTCGAGTCGCTCATCCACCGACCTTAGCACCAGCCTGGTTTGAGGATCTCAAGAGCTCCGACCTTTCCAAGGGCTGCTGCAGACAAAGCTCCTGGGATTTGGTGCCAAAGCCTTTCCCGATGCTCCTGGGGGAGGCTGCCAGCACAGGAACACAGGCCCCTTTCCTGCAGGAACTGCACTGCCTCTGCACGACGTGGTCGTGGCTCTCTTGAGCAAGGCAAGAGGAGACAGGGACAGAATCTCACCCGCTGCCTCCGCGTGCGGATGGAACCGGGACAGTTCCGCTTCCAGGACAGTTTCTCCGTGTGGATTTAGCCAGAGGCCTCTGCTCTTGCACCTTCCCGAGCAGCCACACGGGCTGTTCCCATCCTGGTTTCTCCCTCCAGGGACAGATCCCATGTTAGATTCCATAGAAGCAGCACCATCCACGGATGCTCCAGCACAGACCAGCGCTCGGAGCTGGACTGACCACCCTGGGGAAGGAGGCGTCACAATGGACAATGCCCAACCCTGGACCAACTTTAACCAGTCTCGTTCTGTTCGACCAAACTAAGGAAGGAAAAACCAACAATCCCAACCTTGGGAATGATTAGCTTCACTATTCTAGTTGGATAAGGTACCGAGAACATTCCTCTGTGTGTGTGTGTGTGTGTGTGCGTGTGTCTGCGTTCAGGGGGTGGGCTTGGGGGGAGAAGGGGCGATGCTTGATGCCGAAGCACGCTATGGGGACATGAGAGGCCCTCGAGTCATCCTCCTCCAGCTGCCCTTGTGTTTGTGGCACCGTTTGGACCTTCACCTCTCCCTCGAGAGCTGAGTGGGGCCGTGCGAGGCTCCGTGTTCCTCTAGTCCATGTTTACTGATTGTAAATACCATTTTTATACTTAACATCTATTCCGTACGTGATTTGTACAATGGACTTTATTTCTGCTACAAGTAATTTCCTGAAGTTTAAACTTAATCTAATTTTGAACAAAAGAAAAAAAGCAAAAAAAAAAAAAAAGCAAAAAGAAAAACCCCCACCAAAAAAAAACAAAAACAAAAACCACCAAGTGCAAAAGTGGGGAATAAAAAGGACTTTTTTTGGCCATCCCGGGCCAAGTGGCTTTCCAAGAGCGTTTCTTCCCTCACAGTTACTGGTGGGACTGGCCGATGTTGCGCTAAAGCTTCGTCAGTGTCAAATTCCTTACTCTGGTCAAAAAAAAGATCTTAAATTTATTTAATAAAAGTTTTACTTGGTAAATAATGTCCTGGTTGAGCTGCTCTGAGCTGGTGCTGCCGCGGGAGACACTCGGCAAAGCCCTGCAGGAAGGGAATCGTGGTCGCACTGAGCACAGCGGCTGCGCAGCCGCTTCCAACGCCTTTCACAGGGGATGGATCGTGGAATCCCAGCCTGGAAGGGACCTTAAAGCTCCTCCGGCTCCAACCTCTGCCCCGGGCAGGGACACCTTCCACTGGAGCAGGTTGCTCCAAGCCCCTGTGTCCAACCTGGCCTTGAACACTGCCAGGGATGGGGCAGCCCCAGCTTTGCCGTTCAACCCATTCCAGTGTCCCACCACCCTCACAGGGAAGAGCTTCTCCCTTAGTTCCACACTCTAGTTTGGGCCTGGGTTTAAGCAGTGTTTGGCTGTTCCCATCAATTCCAACCCTGTTAACCTGTTCCTCCACAATGTTCAGTTTTCAAAGCTCCTTAAAGTTCCTTCAGGATTAAGGAGCAACACACACCATGACCATCCTCTCAGCCACTGAGGAGCTCATGGGGGAGCTGCCATCCAGCCCCAGCCCAGGAGGATTCAAGCAAGAAACCACTTTTTCTTAGCTGCCATGATACATATTCCTAGGAATAATGTGTTAGGGAAGAATTCCCTCTGTGTTCTTTCTCCAATGCAGGAATCATGAACCCGTCTTGGCATTTAGAGCAAGGAAGAGCTGATTTAACAAGAGCAAACATCTACCCCAGGGCCTGTGCTCAGAGGCCAGGTCCAGCCTGGAAGCACCAACGTGTGACACCAACACCCATAGGAAAAATAGTTTAATTAAAATGGACATTCTAAATTCTGTTTATAGGAAACAAGACGTTTCAGAGAACCCACAAAGCATGAAGTGGTGGAGAAGGATGGCCCAGGGATGCCCAGGCATTCCAGGCCCTCCCGTACAACAGAGGTTAAAGCTGGAGCTGAGGGAAGACTGGAGGTGGTAAAACCAGAGGTGAGGTGAGGCCGAAGGAGGGGAGATGGTGGAGGACTAAGATGGAATGAACTGGGAGAAACATCTGGCTGACGGGCAGGGACACCAGAGCTGAGGTAGGATCAGAGGGAGCCTTATGGGAAGAGCTAACGGTGCTTTGCCACCACCGGGGCAGGAATGGGATTAGACGGGATGGGAGAGGAGCCTGGGCCTCTCTAGGGAGTGTAGAAGCTCTGCAGAGCAGGGTCACAGGGGAAGAGCACCCCGAGGCAGCACACGAGGTGCAGCCAGCGCGGGTAGAAAACCTCCCTCACACGCATGGCTCCCCCCTGGATGATGGCGAGCGCCGCGGCGGGAGCAGGAGAGGCAGGAAGAGAAACCTTCCCCCTGGAAGCAAAGAGCCAGAGCATCACCCAGAGCCGGGCAGCCCATGGCGGGGTGGTACCTGTGCACACTGAGCCCCGCAGTGTTCTCCATGCTGAGGTGGACACAGAACCCCCACGATGCACCCAAGAGATGAACTCGTCCCGTTACACATCCGAATGGGTGCTCATCCCATCATAAGGCAGCTGAGGTGCAGGTTTTGCTCCCTCCCAGCCTCCTCCACACACGTACCTGATGCTCTCCAAGGCCGATTTGGTGTCGATCAGGCCCAGGATGCAGAGTGTGACTGAGACGTTCTTCTTCTGCATGGAGAGCTCGTGGCGCAGCGAGCTGAAGAACCCATCCAGGGCGAACTTGGTGGCAGAGTAAGAAGTGGTGAAGGGAGTGGGGATCTTCCCTGGGAAGGAAAAGGAGAGAATGGAAAACACCGGGAGACTGGCTGGAAGGAGGATGGTGCCATGGAGGGGGAATCTGGATCATCCTGCATCATCGACCCATGTGCCCTTTGGGTGAGTTTCCCTCTGTTCCTAGTCACAAACAGGCGCTGAGGCAATTCCAGCCGGTTGTGGGAGCACATCCCAGCACAGGAGCCACCTCCTGGACAAAGGAAGGAATTGTAAAGACAACTTACACCAGGTCCACGCTGGGCTAAAAAGCCCCGTGTGAAGCTCTGCTGCAGCCTTCCCTCCCCATGAAGAGCAAACACAAGGAGCATGACACCAGGGCTCAGGGCAGGACAAGCCTGAGGCTGGGTACGGTGCTGCAGCTCCCTGGAGTGCACACCTCCTGCTTTTCCATCCCAAACAGGCAATGCAGCTACTCAGCAGCCTCCTGATGGCCAAAGCCAGAAGGTTTTCGAGTAGGAGGATGACAGAAACACAGGAGGGATGGGCCTGGCTGTGAGGGGCAGGAGCCAAAGCAGCAGATCTGGGCACACCATGAAACAAAGAGCACGGTTCCTTTGCCACACAAAGAAGGTCTCCAGAAAACAAGAGCAGCCACTGTCCTGCCTGCTACTATAAAAGCACAGCTTGGAAAGGGCTTGAGGGGTTGGAGAACACAGAGAAACACAACATGTTGGGAACCACCGTGTCCACAAGAGCAGTGTTATGGCAGTTAAAGCCACCAACCTGTGAGGGAAGAAACAACCACCAGAGAGCCTCGATTCTTCTCCAGGGTGGGGAGAGCTGCTGTTGCGAGTGACACGTAACTGAAGAAGTTCACCTGGAATGGGAAAAGTAGACGTGGAAGAAGCAGGAGGGTTTGGAGGGAGGGTCAGCATGAGCCAGAAGCAGCTTCCATCAATCCCTGGGCTAATGGGAGATAAGAAGGACAGAAGGAAGGAGAGAAGTGAAGTTCTTCCCAGACATTCCTCCACACACACATACACCACCTGAGCAAACCCGTAACGGAGCCTCTGAACCCCTTGAAACACAAATGAAAGGAAAGGTTTGTTCTCAACCATTGCCACAGCCTTGAATTTGCCTTTGAGCTTCCCAAAGCCATCCCAGGAGAAGGCAGAGTCGCCCAGCTCCAGGTGAGCTCTTCCTGCTGGGAAAGCTCACCTGCATGAGCCAGCGGGTGTACTCCACGTCTCCATCCCACATCTGGAAACGGGTCGTGCCAATGTGGTTCAGCACCAGGTAATCCAGGCCCCCTGTGCACAGGAGAAGCACTCAAAGCAAGGGGCCAGCCCCAACCAGTCCTTTCTCCACACTCTCCGCCTCCAGCACGAAAAGCAGCTAAAAGGCAGTTACAGCCAGACTGGAATTCCCAAACCCCACACACCCTCCAGTCCCAGCATCCCTCCCAGCGAGGGACATGGGGAAACTGAAGCAGGAAGCTCCTACAGGAATGAGAACTGTCTGTACTGGAGGCCAAAGAGATGCCCAGATGCTTACCCAGCTTTTGGACAGCAAAATGAACCACCTTTTCAGGCTCTAAAGGGTTTGACATATCTGCAGGGATGTAAAATACTTTCTTTGCTCCAAGTGCCAGGCACTTCTCCATCACCTTGAAGAAGAACACGCAGCCAAAGGTTAAACACCATGGACTGGGAAGGGGGGAGAACAGAAGTAAGGACACTCTATGGCACTGGGGGCTCCCCATCCTACACAGTCAGTGAGAGTCAGTTCTGGACAGAAACACACTTTAACTCTAGCTCTATTCAGCCCCTGAGAGCTCATTTGTCATCCAGACTTTGTTTAAGCAGTTACCTCTTAGCAGGAAGCAGATTCACTCTCCCTTGGAAAAGGATCAAGGTTCACCTGGTACAGGTGCAGATCTCTTTGTCCTCCCTCCTAGAAGGAAGTTCTTACCTTCTGCAGCACAGCTTCCCTCCTAGCAGTCAAAACTATTTCAGCACCAAATCTGGCATAATGATAAGCCATCTGCTCTCCAATCCCAGCACTGGCTCCAGTCAGGAGGACACGGGCGCCAGACAACACCTCTAGTTTATGGGAAAGAGAGGAAGAGACAGAGAAGTAGGTGGAGGAAGCAGCAGAGGAGCTGCCCGTAACTATTGGCAGAGCTCTAAAGCAGAAGGGTGTAAGTGGCAAAGTACAGCTTATTTCCCCCTTCCCCAGACAGCAGGATCCCTTTGGAAATGCTGTGAGAACATTTTGTCTTCCTCTTTGTTTCAAGCTTCTCTTTATTTCTGGGAATGAAGCTCCAGCTCTGTGAGACTCCGGGCAGGAATGAGACCACCAGCCAGGGTTTCTCTCCTGTGATTTCCACTCCAGTTTGGAATGACCCCCCTTCCTGAGCCTACCTGGCTTAAAAGAATCTTTCCAGAAGACAGCGAGGAACCCGAGTATGAAGGCTGTAGCACAAAGCACTTTTCCAATGGGCTTCATATCCCTTCACGTTGTGAAGAGCAAAGTCTTGAAGCTGAGCACTCCAAACACTGCAACCTCCTTCCTCTGAGGCTGGGAGCCAACCTGCAAGAGGCACAGCAAGTCCTGCACAGCAGAGAGGAGATGGGAAGAACTGAGACTCCAGCAGGAGCTACCTTTGTCAGGAGAGAAAGACAGTGAGGACAGGGACAAGCAACGCTTTGATAAGGAGCTGCAAAGTTGCTGTTCCCCTGTGGAAGGGAGGGAACCAGTCTTGGGAATGGTTCACGTGTGCCCAAGGAAGAGCAGGGCTTGGTTGTACCACTCCTTGTCCAGAGGGAGCAACCCTGGCAGGCCTGGAGCGAATGAAACGTGCTCTTGTGTGCGAGGAGGGAGCCGAAGAGGGCAGGAAGCAAAGAGCTCACAAAATCATCTCCTCTGTCCTCCTGCCTTGCTCAATGAGGCTTCCCTCAGCTTCCACTTGCGCCAGGAGAGCAGCTTGTGCCGTTCAGTGTGTCTGAAATGAACGGGAGCGGGGGAATGACCCTGAAAATCACAGGATCACAGAATGGTTTGGGTGTCTTCTGCAGAGCCCACTTGTTCTGCACCCCACGGCGCCTTCTGGGGGGCAGCGCACTGGGATACGGCCAACGCTCAGTGCGGCCACGGAATTCCCGGTCTTACCCAGGGTATGGAACTGACCGTGGACTGAATTCCCTGCGGGAGCGTGGCCTGGAGAACATAAACGGGGGGGAAACGGGAACAAGCGTGAGGCTGAGCTGCTGAAGGGTCTAACAGAGGAGATGTTGAAGGTGAGAAGTTGAGGGGTGGGACTGGGGGCGGTGAGTTAAAAGCACAACGTGCTCTGTCCGCCCGCTCCCGTCCCTCTGCG